CGGCAGCGGGGCGATGCTTTCCGCCGTGGCACAGCCGCGGCACGGAAATCTTTGCGGGAGGCACAGAAACGGGTGATGGGACTCAGCATCGCCAGGATCAATGAGAAGGTGAGAGGAGGACTGGTGGGAGTGGCATGGAGGTCTCTCCCCATGTGGTGTTGAGCTGCCATCTGCACCATTGGCATCATCACAGATATGTGGGGCACCTGGAGACCGGAGCTGCAAGCACGCACCTTGTGGAGGAGCCTTGTGCCGGGACAGTGAGGGCACACGGCGTTGCGGTGGCACGGGTTGTACAGGGGCATTGCCCATCTCAGCTCGAGCCCTGAGCAGCGCCCGTAATGCCTCACAGCAGTTGGAGGTGGCATTAGGGCAGCTGGGTGTTGTGGCACAGAAGGTAGGAGTGGTGGCTCCATGACACTTTCTGGGGTCCCCTCGTGACCCTTTTGCATGGCCCGCTTGTGCCCTCTCCATGACACTTTGATGTGCCCTTCCATGTTCTGTTTGTACCCTTTCCAAGTCCCTTTGTATGTCCCCTTCTATGCCCTCCTTGTGCCCTTTCCATGCCCCCAAGGATATTAGCCCTGTGTGTCCCTTATGCCCCTTCACAACTGTCCCTTGTGCCACCTGTGTGCCCACTTGGGCCACTGCTGCACCCTCTGTATGTCCCTTTGCACCCTCCTTCCATGCTCCCTTGCAGGCCCCCATCTTGTCCCCGCATATGTAACCTCATGCCGCCTGCTCACCCCCATGCCCCCTCCCTGGGGCTTCCCTGTGCCCCCCGCTCAGCCGGCTGCCCCCCAGATGCAGGAGGTGCAGGAGCTGGCACGGGGGGCACGGAGCTGGGCGGAGGAGGCACTGGGGCGCTCACAGGCTGCCCGCAGCCGCGCGGAGGAGGCGACGGCCCAGCTACGGGATTTCATCCGTCGAATCAAGGCCTTCCTGGCAGGTAGTGCCAGCACCAGGTGGGCAAGTGATAATGGTGGGGCTCAGTATGCCCGCCCTGAGCCCACTCTCCTCCCCTGTCCCTGCAGAGGAGGGAGCCGACCCAGGCAGCATCGAGCTGGTGGCCCAGCAGGTGCTGAACATCTCCCTGCCCAGCAGCCCCGGTCGGATCCAGGAGCTGCTGTGGCAGATGCGGGAGAGCATCAGCCAGCTGGAGGGGGTTGATGCAGTGCTCAATGGCACGGCAGAGGGGCTGGCCATGGCACAGGGCCTGCTGGCGCAGGGACAGGAGGCCAGGTGAGTTATGGAGGATATGCCAAGGTGGGCAGGGTATGGGGTCAGTCCCCCAGCCCTGGCAGGGGCTGGAGCTGCCCATGCTGCCACAGGGAGCGAGCAGAAGGTGTGAGGGATGAGCTGGCGGAGACACAGCAGGCACTGGAGGTGGCACGGGCACAGGCAACAGCAGCAGGGAGTGCCCTGCAGAGCGCCAGGAATGCCATCCGGGCAGCTGAGAACAAAGCCAGGGAGGTAAGGGGCACCAGCTGGGGAGCGGAGCCAATTCCACCAGCATAGCCAGGAGTGGGGATGCTGTTTTGGGCATGCTGGGGACAAACGGGTTGGTGCTGTGGGGGCACACTGGGAGCAATAGGGTTGGTAGTGTGGATGGCAAGACTGATGCCTTAGGCACATCATAGATAGGGAGGCTGGTACTGGGGGAATGTGAATGGCGGGGGGTGGGTGCCATGTGTTCACCGGGGCAGTGGGCCCAGCACCATGGGTATGGCAGTTGTCCGTGTCTGCCCAGGCGGAGCGCAAGCTGCAGGCCCTGGACGGCAAGGAGACACGGGCACAGCGGCGGCTGCGGGAGCTGGCACAGCGCGTCACTACCCTGCAGGAGCGCGGCCGGAATGTTCGCCACATGGCCCAGCAAGCCAAGGATGGGGCACAGCGTGCCACCTCCACCTCGGGGACACTCAGCCAGGTGAGCTCCAGCCCTGCTTGGCCGCGGTGTGGCACCAAGTAGGGACGGAGTGCTGGGGGTGCTCAGCCTCACTATCGTGCCCTTGTGCCACCAGGACCTCGCGCATGTGACGCAGCGCTACGTGTTGCTGAAGAACCGGGTGAGAGTGCTGGATGGGGTATCTGATGGGGCCCTGCAGCGTGTGACACAGCTGACAACAGAGGCCCGAAACCTCCTGGACAAGGCCAGCAACAGCAAGAGGAAGCTGGAAGGTGAGGGGGAGAACATGGCAGGGGACATTCTCCACCATCTCCTTGTGCATCTCCCTGTGTCCCCCTGGGCCCATTCCACCTGGTGGCCCAGGAGTGATGCGGGCTGGTGACATGGTGGTGGGCTGCACCATGACCGTGTCCCCTGTCCCGCAGACCTGGAGCAGCGCTTTGGGGCCAACGAGCAGGCAATGGCAGCAAAGGTGACACAGCTGCAGGAGTTGGAGCAGCAGGTCTCGGGACTGCTGCAGGAGATCCGCGAGAGGGCCAACGCTTATGCCACCTGCTAGGGACCACCGACGGGGTCGGGGGCCGGTCCTGCCCCGCAGCCCCC